CGCTCCCTGGGCTTGGGCTCGATGGGCGTCCACTGCTCCCCGCGCACGGCCGCCTGCGGGCACGGAGGGCCGGGCTGGGTCGCGCCGAGAGCCGCCCGGGCCACCCGCCAGGGCCCCGGGACCACTCACGTCCGAATCCCAGAGGGGCTGTCGCCTGGGGAGGTGAGGCCACCTGGGAAGCTACCTGGCTGTGCCAGGAGGGCCAGCGAGGGGGAAGGGGCCAGGGAGCCCCTGGGTTTCTGCAGACGCGCTGGTGGCCACTTCCAGGCACAAACTCCAAGATCCACGGGGTCCCCAGGCCTCCTCTAGAGGGACCAAGGGCAGGAAGGACAGGGAGGAGCCCGGGAGAGCAGGGTCCTGTCCACTCACTCACCCTGGACCCACCCTGGCCTGCACCCTCCCCAGGGCACCCCAGCATTTCACAGATGCATGGTGGCAGGGTGGGGACTGAAGCGTGCACAGCAGGCATGGGGGGGGGGCGGCTTTCTAAAAATACAGACTGCTGGGCCCCATGCCTGAGGTTCTGTTGCAACAGGTCAAGTAGACCTGGGAATGTGTATTTTTAACTTAGTATCCCGTAATATTTGATAGAAAAAATATGCAACATCATATACTTAGGAAGCGTAAGAATAAACTGGACACCCGAGATCCCACCTCCCAAACACAGAAACACTCGGTCCCCAAGACGGGGAGGGGCTTCAACAGGCACAAAAGCGAACAGACAAGCGTCCTTTCCTGAGGGACTTCCTGACGAAGCCAGCAGACTGGCAACAGAAGGGAAGACATTTACAATGGCTAAAACTCACAAACGGTTAATAACTTAAAATGCACGGGATTCCTGCAAATTAAGAAAAAGACAAAAACCCCAGTAGGAAAATGGGCAAAGGCTGAGAACGGGTGAATTATGGGAAAGGAAAATGGGACAGCTAGAGCGCGTGCGGAGGGGCGCAAAGTCGAGGTTAGAGAAACAGGAGTCAGAGTCCCGGGGTGTCAGCCTTGCGTGTTAACCGGCAGGAACGGGGGAGCCGGGCGTGGCGGGTGGGGAGGTGGCGGGGGCCGTCCGCGGGGAGCCAGCTGCCGCGTGGGCGAAGGGTGCACAGGCTGGCACCTGACCCCGCAGTTCCGCCCTGCGTTTAACCCAAGGAATCCTCACTCAGTCTGCGGGAGCCCGCCCGTGTGTGGCAGTGGGAGCTGGGGGCGGGCGGGTGGCCCCGGGAGACACACACTCCAAGCACCCAAAGCCACTAGAAGGACAGGCGAGATGAGCACTGGCAGCAGGAAAGATTCTAGGCGTGAGTCGGACAGAGAAGCACACGGTCGCTGAGACGTGCAACACGGCTAACGCCCTGGCACACGCTCAGGCACAACAGACACTGCGCGGGCCCTGGGGATGAAGGGTGACAAGCCAGGGTCTGGGGCTTCGTCCTCCCAGAGACGGCCGGGGAGGCGGGACGCCGCTCTCTGCGCACGAGTCCAGGGCCAGCGGGAGGTTTCACCTGAGGCCTGCGCCCGCCCGTCCCAGAGCCCTGCCCTGGGGGTTGCTCTGTCGCAGGCACAGCCTTCTAACGGGGCGCGGTGTTCGTAAATCTCAACACCCAACCAGCCGCCCGCAGCCTGGGAAAACGTCTTTGTGGGGTCTGTGCCGTTAACAAGCCCCGCGGAGGTGCCCCCAATGCGCCCCAAACTGCAGCGACTAGGGTGTAGATGAGACAAGTCTGATAAGTGGATCCCAACCCAGCGGGGCCTCCGGCTGCCGTGGGACCCCTGGCTGGCCGCGCCCCCTCCCTGAGCTGCGTCTGTACAGGGAGGACCCCACCGTGCCCTTGCGGGGCTGTGGTGCAGACTGTGAGGAAACGCGGGGAGACGGCCCGGCACACGTCACATGTGCGGAAGACGGTGGCCGCGGCCGTCGGCCCTGCCGTGACGGGAGCAGACACTCGGGCTCGTTTGCTCTGGCAAAGCGCAGAGCCGGCTGGTCGGGGCCGAAGGTGTCGGTACCGGGGCTGGGGGTGTCGGTACCGGGGCTGGGGGTGTCGGTACCGGGCCCGACTGCAGAAGACGCCACTCACCAGCAGGTAGATGCCGCTCGCGATGGCCAGGCAGGCGGTCCCCAGGATGGTGGCGAGCAGGAAGCCAGCGGGCACCGACAGCCTGGGTGGAGGGGCAGGAGGAAGGGCACAAAGGCAGTCGGAGAGGCGTCTGGAGCCCCGGCCTCGGGGACAAGGCCACAAGGTGTCCCCCAGACAAAGGGGATTCGCGGCTCTGCCAAAGTCTGGCTTAAGTTTTGGCCCCTCAAGCTGGTGTCTGCCTTGATTTGTGCCTTACGACTCTGGGGACACCTGCTGTGAGGCCGCCATGTTGCGAGGAAGCCCAGGCAGCTGCAGGCTGCACAGTGGCCCCGGCCCAGCAGCGACCCCCAGACACACGGCGAGGGGCCGTCCGCTCACAGCCTCGGACCCAAGCGAGAGCCGCCCGCTGAGCCCAGCTGACCCCAGAACAGCCACTACTGTGGATTTCAGCTCCGAGGGTTTGGGTGAATCGTTCTGCACGGTGGACGATGGGTGCGGGACTTGGGAACCTCCGCCAGAGCTGTGGACCTGGGCTTTTGTTTGGAAAAATATCCCGGCAAGGCGGGGGCCGGTGGGAGGGTCTCCTCCGAGCCACCTGGTCCCTCAGGCAAGCAGGGCCGGGCGGGGACTCACGCGAGGTGCAGGAGAGCCCGGACGTAGTAGTTCCTGGTGAGGGGCCCGAACAGCTTCACCACGGCCGTCATGTACCTCTGTCCACTGGGGGAGGAGACAGATGCAGGGTCCGGGCTGCCCGACGCGGGAACCCCACCACTGCCCGCCCCCACCTCCGGGCACTCAGGCCTCCTTCTTGCCAGGAGACGCTGCCTGGGATGGAGGAACCAGGCTCCCGCAGGGCCACTGGCCAAGTTCTCGGCCTGTGAGCTCCGCCTGGGCCCCAGAGCAGGTTGGGGGCCACTCACCATCGCTCCATGGTGGAGCCCTTGGCCCTCTTCCCCCGGGGGTACTCCAGCAGGCACACAAACACCCCTGCTGCTCTGAGGCGCTAAGGTTAAGGAGCAGCCCAGCTCAGCCCCGGGGGCCGCGTCGAGACCCCTCGCTGATGAGAAAACGGAGTGGTGCAGCCGCCGCCAGGGGCCACACAGGCGGGACACCGCCGGGCAGGGCACCGACTAGTCTGGCCACAGGGAGCGAGGGGCCGGCCCTCGGGGGCGCCCACCCCTCCCGCCCCTCACCAGGGCACAGGCCTGGCTGCCCAGACCACCGGGGTTGACCAGGGAGCGGGACGTGAGCAGCGCTCCACACGTGGAAGCACGGTGCTGGCGCGGGGTGGCAGTGGCACCTCCGCCCCGGCCCAGGCAGTTCTGCTCTGGCACCCCGGCCCCCCCCCCACCGCCCCGGCCTCTCTAGTGGAAGGATACATGGAGTAGGCGCCAAAGTACCACTGGGTGAAGCGTCCGGCCGTGGCCACGATGCCCCCGGTGATGAGGACTGCAGGAGACAGGCGGGTTAGGAGGGCGCCACACCCCGTCCGCGTGGGGCTCCCCAGGGCCTTGGCCACCTCCCCTTCTCCACCTGCTGTGGGCCGCCGGGCCCCCCAGAGCTGCCCTCGACACCGTCCACGCTTGCCCCCAGCAATGGGGTCGGGGGCGCTTCCCCAGGAGGCGGGTCCGTGACACAGGGCTGGCGGAGTGGCCGGGGGACGCGGCCGAGGCGAGGCCCCTCTGGGTCCCGGGAGCTGCCGAGGGACGGCTGGCCTGGACGCCCCACGGGGCCCACCCCTCTCAGCTCTGGGACCCTAGAGGGACACGCGCCTCTCCCCCTTGTCATTTGGGTGTTTGGCGCACGTGCTCAGACTGTGCTGCTGCCGGTGGAGTCTGTCTTCTCCACGCGCCCCTTTTCTTACTTGCGTTCCGCTCCACCCTGTTCCTCTTTTGCCTCAGTTTCCGTCGTCTGCAACTGCTCTTTCTGCACCTGTCCCCAGCCAGCAGCTGCCGGCTATCCCATCCCTCCTGTCCACCTCGGCGCAGTCTAGCGCGGACCCTGTCCTCCGTGTGCTCCTGGCTGCACATTAGCTTTTCCGTTTCCCGTCAGCGCTTGTGTGTTGGGGAGGGAAAGGCTGTCTCCTCCCTCCCGCGTCTGTCCACACAGCACGTCGTCCCTGTCCCCAGCTGAGCCTGTCTTGCTGCCGTCAGCACGGGTGGCAAACGCACCGCTTGCTCCCCAGGGAGGCCTGAGGACTCATTCCAGGACCCAGCCAACGTGTGTGAGCACCAGCTGTGTGCGGGGCCTCTGCCGGGTGCTGGGGACGCAGCAGGGGTCAAGACAGACGAGCCCCTGGGGCCCCTGGTCTTGCGCGGGAGGCAGAGGCAAACACCAGACAGCGGAGGGCCAGAACCCGGACGTGACAGGAAGGGCCCAGGCATCTGGGCTGGATGCTCTGGGCCGGTGACATCTGAGTGGAAGCAGCCGGGAGCTTTGCGGGAGAAACGGCTTCCACCAAGCCCCTGCGGCTCGTCAGCAGGTCCAGGAACAGAAAGGAAGCCGTGGGCTGGAGTGAGGAGGAAGCGGAGGGCCGGGGTGGGCAGGGCTGGAGCAGCCAGCGCTATCATTGTTTGCGGTGGGGCCACCGGAGGGTGTTAAGCAGGGAGGCTGCCCGCACCGAGGGGACCAGAGCCCAGGGCTCCCAGCTGGGTGGCCTCCGTCACCCCTGCTTCTTGGAGTCTGGGGAGGAAGGACCAGAGGCTGGTCTGCAGGGCACAGCCTGTGGCAGGCAGGGTGACAGTCCCACGGGACAGCACTGGGGAGAGGTGGGGAAATGTCTAAACTGACCCACCGAGTTCTCAGCCAGTCTGATCTTCCTGGACAGAGAAGGGTCCAACTGCAGGGCCCAGGCCCCAGAGCCTCCCGCCCCTGAACGCTGCCATGGAGCACGGGGCCATTCCTCCGTGCCGCGGCCCCGCCTGCTGTCCCAGCCAGCAAGGAGGGCGCTCGGAGCCCCCGGGAGCCAGGTCTCCCCCCAAGCTCTCCCCCACCCGCAGGTGCAGGTCCTTCCTGGCGCTGGGGCCCCCACACAGCCTGCAGGGCTGACACTTCCCTGCCCTGTCCTGGGAGGTTTCTGTTCTCAGACACAGTGCGGGGGTGAAGCTCCACCCCCGTCTCCAGCACCCCCAAGCAAAGCACACAGCTGGGCGACGGGGCGCCCCTTCTGGGTGGGTTCCAGCCGCGTTGTGAAAACTGGGTCCCAGATGGAGCGGCCGTCCCGCCCCGGGGTGACCCGTCGTCTCCACCCCAGGACCCAGGAGAGGGAGCCCCAGCCCGGCCAGCTCCGGGAGGAGGGGAGCCCCCACTCCAGGGCACGAGGGGTGCGGGGTTGCTTTCCCAACGGGCGGGGCGGTGGCTCTCCGGAAACCACCGGGCTGAACCGCCTCTTCCCCTGCGCTGCAACTTCCTCCTCCGCGGCGGTGGAGGGGCCGGGGGAGGGGGCGCCAAGCACGAGTCCCGCCTGGGGTCTGCGCGCGGCACCGGTGCAGCCGGGGGGGTCCCGGAGCCCCTCCTACGCAGGCGCGGTCTGACTGTACCGCCCCGAACTCCAGTCTGCCCGGGGCCCCCCACTTCCCCTCCTGCACCCGAGGTCCCCGGCTGGGGTCAGGGGGTCCCCCACCCCCAGATCCGCTCCGCCGCGCACTCACTCAGGCCAGACGCCAGCGCCTGCTCGTTGGCCCACATGGCCCACTCGATCTGTCCCATGGTGGCGGCGACACGGCTGGGTGCGCACTGAGCGCCCCTGGTCCCTGCCCCGGCCCTCGAGCCTGGCCCCGCCCCCAGCCCCGCCCCCAGCCCCAGGTGACCGCCCGGGGGCAGGGCCCGCGGCGTCTGCGCTCTCCGGGCTGGATCCGCGGGACCGCGCCACCCTCCCCCTCAGACCTAACTGAACCCCCACCGGCCACCAGACCCTGGAGAGGCCCGGCCCCCGCAGCTCTCACTTCCCCTTCCAGGGCCTGCCAGGGTGGGGATGTCAACCCAGGGCTTCCTCCAGGGTTGAGTGTCCCCACCCAGTCACCCCAGCGCCCTGCAGCTTCTGACCCCGGGGTCCTCGGGCTTCTAGGAAAACAAGGGCGAGAAAGGCGCTTCCCAGACAGGGCTGAGGGGCCTGCCCAGGGCCGGGACTGCGCCTCCATGGGGGGCTGGGGGTCCCTCTGCTCCACACTGTCACTAAGGACCAGGGTGGCTCCCTGACGCCTGGCGTGGGGACCAGAGGCCCCGCCCTTTCCTCCAGCCGGCTCGGGCTGGCACAGGTGTGGGCAGCTCAAGTCAGAGACTGGGCCCCCTCCCAGTGTCACACGACTGCCTTGAGGGAGGACAGGCTTGCAAAGCTGGGAAAGCCCCTTCCCCCCCACTGGGTGCCAGAGGCTCAGCCTGTGCCCGGAGGCAGAGGCGGCTCTGGGGGTGGGAAGGGCTCTGGGGCCTCCTGTGCAGGCCACGGGACCCCTCAGAGCAGGGACCCCAGAACGCTGGCTTAGGAAACAAGAGAAACAGCGTGAGGCAGGAGGTGAGCAGTGCTGAGTTTATTCCTGTGGTCAACAGGCCGCAGCTCCCAAGGCCCCCAGATCCGCGCCGGCCCCAGCCCTGCCGGGGGAGCCGCCTTCCCGCCCTGAAGAAGCGTCCAGCCACACCCTGGGCGGAGTTCGAGGTCTGGCAGAGCCACCATGGCTGCCCCCTTGAAGCACTTGGGGGTTTCCTGAGGCAGCCAGTGCAGTCCCCACAGAGACCAGGCCCCCCCGGGGACGCGACTCCCGCTGAGCTCCTGTGTTGGTGCCCTGGAGTGGGCCGGGGTCCAGGGTCAGGGACGCGCCGCCGCTCTCGTGCCAGACCCCAGTCCCATCTCGGCAGAGCAGCACGTGCGGGCGGACAGTGGACGCACTCGGGGGCCCCACTGCTGACGTCTGGACGGCTGCAGGTCTCACGCCACCGTCCACGGCATTGTGCCCGCTGCCCGGAGCTCAACCCTGGCCGCCACGCCGGTGCCCAGTGCCAGTGAGGCGCCCTGCTCCCGTGGCGGTCAGGCAGCCGGCTTCGGCAGGCCGTCGGGGCCCAGGAGGTGAACATGGGGGTCGTCCAGGACTTGAGGCCCCGGCCCCACCTGGAGAGAGAGATCGGTGTCAGGTCACTGGGTGACGGCAGCGCAGGGACCTGGGGTCTTCAGAAGGGTGGGTTAGACGCGGAGGGCGTGGCCCCCCTTCCGGCCCCAGTCAGAGGCGAAGCAGCCGGGTGGGGCTGCCGCGTCAACCCCTTCAGGCACGGCCACCTCTGCCAGCTGCGCACCCCGTCCTCGGCCTGACCCAGTCACTGCCACGGCACGCAGACGTGGGGGGCTGGGGAACGGCAGCCCTGCGCAGAAGGCGGACTCCGTGGCCTGGGTGGGCGTGACCACTGGACCGGGAGCCGCCCCTCGGAGCAGGGTCAGGACGGCAGGCAGGGCCCTGGGCTGCTCCTGGTAGGGGGGACCCCCGAGGGTGGAGGCTGCACCCCGAGTGCCCCTCCCAGGAGCTGGCTGTCAAGGGAGTGGACAGCTCCACCCGTCTCCCGCCCCAGGCCCAAGCGTCGCCGGTCACCTGCAAGTGTCCACTTCAGGAGCAAGTGAATGACACAAACACGGGCCAAATGCCCTGAAGGCTGAAAGTACTATTACTGCTACTTGTGCGCCGTCGGTGTTGTTAGTGTTTTGCCTCCTGCCCGAGACTGAGGGGAGCGAAGGGGGCTGGCCCCGCGGGCGGGAGGACACGCTGCAGCGTCCCGGGCCTCACCCGAGTGGCGATGATGTACTTGATGCCGCCGGGGGTGGGCTCTGTGTCCAGCGCAGCTTTCAGCTCGTCCGAGAGAGGGGCCGGCCTCACCGGCAGCCCCTGTAGGAACCTGGAACGAGGAGGGACGCAGCGTGTGACTCCGTGTCCGCGGAACGCCCAGACCGGGCAGCTCCAGAGAAGGAAGCGGACAGTGGCCGCTGGGGAGGGCTGGGGAGGGAGGTGGCCGGCGGCTGCCAATGGGGACGGGTTTCTCTTAGGGCCGGTGAGACAGTTACGAGCGTAGACAGAGTGACAGCTGCACACACTGCGAACGCCAAACACCATTCGAGAACGGCTACGACAGTGAATTTCGTGTGTATTTTACCAAAAACCAACGCAGGGATGCTGAGGGCCCAGGCTGGGGTCAGTGAGGGGAGGGCTTCTGGAAACCTCCACTGCCGCCCCACAGCTACTGCCGAGCCGGGGGGGACACGGCTTAAGAAAGTGCCGCAATCCCGGCTCCCGAGCCCACTGCGCCCGAGACCCGGGGGGTTAACACGCTCAGTCCCCAGCCCTCTGTCCCGTTGCGGGCAGAGGGACGTCCCCACACCCTTCCAGACGCTCCCATCCAGGAGGTGCCTCTCACACAGGAGCAAGAAACTGCCAGAACACCAGGACACCGGGAGGGTCAAACTTGCTGTCGTCAGCGGGAGGCGGGGCCGTGTGCCTGGGAAGAGGGACGTGCGGCCCACCGGGGCAGGGCACTGCAGCAGCCCCGGCCACCGTGACTGGCTCTGACCGGTCTCGGTGAGAAGGAAACTGGGACTTTGTTCTAATCATTTGCTACGCAGCGCCTGACATTTAGTATGCGCCTCAGAGCGCAGGCCGTGTCTGTCTCCTGGCAAAAAGCAGGACGAGCAGCTCTCCGATGGGGCGGGACCACGGGCGCCCGAGCTGCCGGGGCCAAGCAAGGCCTGGTGCGTCCGCACGCACATGCGCCGCTCGTTCCTGGCGGGGGCTCCTGGCAGGGTGTTTCCCACAAGGGGGGCGAGGGGACCCACACGCACTTGTCTCCGTTCGACTCGGGCGGGAAGCTGTGCCTCACGGCAGCCACGAATTCAGCCACAGTGTCGTCCAGGGTGAAGATCACGGCGTTGGGGCCCGCGTCAAATGTGTACGCCACCTGGAACCTGAGCGGTCACCCTGGCTGTCCACAGAGGGCCTGGCCTCGCCCCCATAACCACTCATTTTCCAGGGGACCTGGGGTTGCCCAGAGCTAAGTGAGGGCCTGCGGGGCAAACCACAGGGGCGCAGCGTCCGCGGCGGCCGGTGCGCGCGACCTCTGCCTGCGAACTCAGGAAGAGGTGGGCGGGGCTGTGGCCCGAGGGAGCCGAGAAACAGAATGCAACAGAACGAACGCTGCTGCGGCTTCGTGCGGCCCGAGTGACACCCACGGGTCCCAGGGCTGGGGGGACGCCCCGCGTCACCTTGGTGAGCCCGTGGTGGGCGTTGAAGCGGTGCACCAGGTGGATGATGCGCCGGGAGGTGTCGCTGAGGTAGGAGATGGGCGGGAAAGTGTCCAGGCAGGTGGCGTGGAACTGGTTGCTGTCCCGCATGGTCAGCCGGGCGAAGCCTGCGAAGTCCCGCTCCCGGATGCAGCGAGTCATCTCGGCCAGGCTCGCTGGCACCACACTCTCGGCCCGGAACTGCAAGGACAGGCGTGCTGAGGGAGGGTTCGAAGCCAGGCGCCTCCACCCAGGACTGCCACAGAGAACGCCTGGGGCCAGAAAGAGCAGGGAGCGGCCCGGGCACCTCACCCGGAGCAGGGGGCTGGTCTCCACGCTGGTCTGCATGCCGGCCGTGCTGCTGGTCAGCTTCTTCTCTGCGCTCACCTGCACGCGGGACAGTCCATCTGGGCCATGCCCACGGGGGGTCCCCGGCTGACACCCCCCAACACTTGGCCCTCCCTCCGCTGGCATGAGCAGCTGTGGCCTCCTGGCACAGCAGAGGTGACACAGGCCTGGGAACAGCCACTTCTCCCCAGCCTCCCCAGCAGCTGAGTGAAGCAAGACCGGACCGGACACCTTTGTGCCTGTCCTCAGCCTGGCCCTGAGTGCCGCACAGAAGCCCCCGACACTCCCTGGGCCCACCCTGCTCACCACAAGGATGAGGACTCGGAGTTCCGGCCAGTGCGTCTCAGGGGCCACCTGCCGGGCGACGCTGTCCTTCCCGTCGGCGCGCTCCCCCATGTGCCACACCACGAAGCCCCCGTGCAGGCTGCGGCAGGCGCTGCCCGAGCCCCGGCGGGCCACTTCTGAGAGGTCCCCCTCGACCCCGTAGACCTGGGCCAGGGTGTAGGCTGCAGACACAGGGGACGGACTCAGTGAGCCCAGGCACCCCGCACCCTACAGCAATGCGGGAGTTCTGAGCTCACGGGTGACAGGACCGGGCCGTCAGCTTCCAAGGCCAGCACGCGCCGGCTCGCCCCGCACCTGGGAGGCCAGAGCAGCGACACACCCACGGGAGGACATGGAGCTGTCAGGCTGACGCCCAGGTGGGCTCTGGGCAGAGGAAGGTTTAGCGTGAGGACGTGTGTTCCGGGAAGAGACTGAACGGCCGGGAGGCCCGTGTGGCAGGGTCCTTGATCCGCCGAGCCTGGCACTGGGCTCCCCGGCGCCACAGGAGCAGGACGCGGCTCTGCTGCCGCAGCTCGGAACCCCAGGGTCTCTCCGTGGCACCCACCTAGGCAGGCGTAGCCCGCCGCGGAGGAGGCCAGGCCCGCGGCTGTGGGGAAGTTGTTCACCGAGGCCACGTGCACCTTGTAGCTGAGGCTGGCGGAAGGCGGGGCTCCATCCTGAGCGCTGCTCCTCTCCTGGGCCAGGCGGCGGACTGGAGGGCGGGCGGGACAGCAGGTGGCACAGCTGCCAGGCAACCCCACCCAACCCCGACCGGCGCCGGCTCTCCTGCCTGGGGGTCACGGCTGAAAACCAGGCCTCTGGGCCTCAGCCTTCCACACACCCCTCGTCCTGGGAAGGCCCATTCCCAGCCCCAAACGCAGCGGTACAGGAGGTGTCCCATCACCCGGCGCTGGGAGGATAGTGCCTGGGTGGCCCCGACTCACTCTCCCTCAGGCAGGCCTGCAGGCGCGGCTGCCCCACCGCCTCTTCCCGGCCGTTCAGCCAGATCCGGTCCTCAGCGAAGTCCTTGCTGATGGCGGCCGTCGTGGTGGTTCTCAGCTGGGAGAAAACGGAGCCACCTCAGAGCCGGAGCTGGGCCCTGGTGTGGCCAAGCACCCCTCTCTCCCGAAAAAGCCTCTCCCACGCACAACGCTTGCAGCTGCCCACTCAGGCAAGGCGGGCGGCCAGGCCCGAGGCCAGCCTGGCTGGGCGGTGGGAGAGCCCGTGTGGCAGAGACCAGGTCTGGGGAGGGCTGCGAGCACAGGGCACGTCCTAAATAGGAGAGATTTCCAAAGGCGCCCCCAGGGCACTGTGAGTGTGTGAGCCCATGTGTGTGATGGGCCCCAGGCCGTGTGTGCACATGTGTGCGATGAGACCCTGGTGCGTGCACGTGCTGTGCCAAGCACGCCTCAACCTGGAGATGGAGCAGACACCTGCGTGGGCTGGGGAGTCCCCGCTGAGCTGTCTGGTCCCAGCCTGTAGGTACACAGGTCCCAAGTGTTGAACAAAGCTGCGCACACTCACCTGGTCCAGATGCAGCGTGACGCTCAGGGAGGAGTTGATGGGCAGGATCAGCTCCTCATCGCGCTTCCCCCCTGGAAGGGACAGCCAGGGCCAGGCCAGTGGGTTTCCCACCCCCACTGTGCTCCCCCTTTCCACGGCCCCCGTCTGCCTCCATCCTGCTCTCTCACTGCTCAGTCTAAGCCCTCCTGCTGCTGCTGCGCCTCCACCTTCAGGAAGCCCTCTTGGATTGCTCTCCACCTCGGCGCTCAGGCTCCCAGAGCAGAGCTGGAGGCCAGCCCACCCCTGCCTCATCTCGCACTGTCTTCTTTCAGGCACTTCACAAACCACCTCTGAGTGCCTGAGCAGTCGATCACGGCTGTCTGTCTTCCCAAACAAAAGGAGCCCAGGTCCTAAGAGCTGCTAAATGTCACTGCTCACACTCCCTAGGGACACTCAGAACCACTCCCCTCCTGCCCAGCCCTCCCACCCCAGCATGTCACAGCCAGTGAAGATGGCCCAAGTGGGAAGTTTGCACCGGGGAGCATCGCACGGCGCTCTACATAGAGTCTTATTTAAGAACATCTTTGTCAGGCGCAGAGTACGCTCAGCTGTGTGCAGCGAGGGCTTAGGACAGTGGACGGTTACGAGGACGGTCAGTACTAACACCTGGCGGGGCACGCACAGTCCTGCGTCGCTCCCGAGAGCGAGGCTCTCGCTGGGCTTGGGGCAGGCGACTGCTGTGGGCAGGACAAAGTAGACAAGGATGACCACGGACCCTGGAGTCACACACGAGCCCCCAAGGTGAGCGGAGGGCAGCCATGAGCAGTGCGGGGGAGCCCCAGGTCTTTCCGTCCGTGTGCCCCAGACTGCGGG